CTGAGCGTTGTATGTATATATAATCCTTAGTGGCATCCGGGTCTGGTCATTGTTTATGGTGACATCCGGTGTTGTGGCAAACTCTCAGGAATGATGTGATTCACACTTGGGGGTCACCTCAGATTCACCGGCAGGTCCAGCGTTGTCCAGACTCCTGATGATGCTCTTCAAAGTGCTCCACCTTGAAAGGCTCGCAAAGTAACGACCCAGGGGGCAAAATAGTACCAATAGTGTAGTATTGCTTTATTGAAAGTAAAGGATGCAAAATAAACTATATTGCACTCACATGAATATGAAATGAATGGCCATCAGGCCTTCCTCACAGGCTCATATACATTCTAGGGCGTCAAATTGAAGGTTTCCCCTGACATGTTTCGTGTGACCAGCACGTTCTCAAAGGGGTGAATCCATTCAAAAAGACGTCAGTTAAATACACCCAGCCGCGCGTGCGCAGAAGCCGCCACGCGCCACTCAACACAACTGCGCATGCACGAGTGACGACACACGCCACAGTCATTGATAGCCAGCGCGCACGCGAGAGCGCGCCACCGGCCGCTTCACCTCTGCAAACGCCGCTCCCCCGCTGGCCAATGCGCACGCGAGCGGTAACACAAAATAAAAACATACCACTTAGCTAATACTAACGGGCATCAGGTGATTCAGATTTTCATCCTTAAACAAGTCAACAATAATGACTTGGTTTTTGTGATCAGCTGTCACAGTGGTCACATGATCAGTAGCCAGTCCCATTGACTCCCGATCATCAGTATGGACCACTTTGAAAGCTTGGTTACTGTGTTGGGAGCATGCAGTGAGTGTACTCAGCACAGAAAGCTCTGCCGCCCATGCAGCGATGCTGAGGCCCATCCAATATGCCACTACACATATGCGTTACATGGGGCAGCAAAAGGTTACAAGATACTTACCTGCTCTCTGCAGTGGTTTTGCACAGAACAGCCCAGATCCTCTTCTGCTTGGGTCCCACGCTGTGACTCCTAGCTCCTCTCCGCACTGTGTGCCCCCATAGCAAGCTGTTTGCTATGGGGGCACTTGTGCAGGCTTGATCCTGAGCCCTGCTCTGTGTCCATTGACAGCCCCATGCTCCAGTCCCTCCTTGATGGCTGATTGTATATAACCATGTACCATGCACGCTTGCCATGTTTTTCCTATAAAATACTGTTTTCATCTTTGGTGCATTACAGCACTGCTGATCACCTCCAGCCTCTTTCAGCCACTACCTGTCTCCATGCAACCACTTCAAGGGATACTAAAGGTTCGCTTTTTTTTTGGAAAAAAATAAACATGTTATACTTACCTGTTCTGTGCAGTGGTTTTGCACAGTGCAGCCTGGATCCTCCTCTTCTCAGGTCCCTCACCAGCACTCCTGGCTCCTTCTATCTGTAGGATGCTCCCATAGCAAGCAGCGTGTTCCCAAGCCGCTGCTCTGTGTGTCCATTCACATACGGAGCCTTGACTTTGCCCCGCCCCATCTCTCTCCTCATTGGCTGCATGGCTGTGATTGGCAGCAGCGGGAGCCAATGGCTTCGACTTGCTGTCTCAGCCAATGAGGAGGCAGAGACCCTGGACAGCTGAGGTTCTTGTGCACATCAATTGATCTTGATGAGGCTCAGGTAAGTATTGAGGGGGCTGGGGGCACTGCTGCACACAGGAGGTTTTTTACCTTCATGCATAGAATGCATAAAGGTAAAAAAAACCTTCAGCATTTACAACCACTTATGCTGGTTCACACTGGTGCGATTTCAGATGTGACTTAAGTTGCACAGAATCACATGACAAGGGAAATCACACTGTTTACAGTGGTGCCCGTTCACATCAATGTGGTGTGATTTTGGAATAAAGGCTCCTGTGCTAGTTTGGTGGAATTTCAGGTGCGATTTGGTTCCATAGAATATGCTAACCTCCTCCAAAGTTGCATCCCAGTAATGTGAACCAAGCCTCAGTGTTGGTTGCAGATCTTTGCACTGGGTGACAACACAGAAGCACAAGTTGTCACTCATAACAGGAAGTGTCTACACAAAGACTTTTGGAGTAGGATCACCTGGTAATCACTTATTGGAAGCTGCAGGTTTTTTTTTAACTGCTTTCGACAGCCCTGCGCAAAATCATATATATATATACATGAAATTGTATTTCCAGGTAGGTGGCACCATTGGTGACTTCAGCTGTAAATCACCAGGTCCTGGCTGGAGATTTCACGCCAGTACCTGGTGATCGCCAAGAACCACTGACCGATGAGAGGTCTGTATGTAAACAATTCAGATTTCTCGTCAGCTTCTGCACGCTGCTTTGTATTGCTCTGCATAGCAGAACAATACAAAGCAGCATGCTTACACAGTAAAGCACACACTGACAACATAGTAAAACAACATACACAGTAAAACACACACAGCACACAGTTAACCCTTTGATTGCGACAGATGTTAACCCCTTCTGCCCAGTGCCCTTAGTACAGTGTCAGTGCCAGGGGCAGACTGGCCATTAGAGCACTCGGGCACTGCCCGAGGGCCCAGGGTCAGTAGGGGGCCTCATGAAATGCCCCTGGTACCTTTTTATAGGCTTTTTGGGTGTGCTTTGAGTGTGGTCAAGGACACAGGGGCCCCACGATCCCCTATTGCCCAGGGGCCCCATGAGTTGTCAGTCCTCCCCTGGTCAGTACTTTTTATTAGCACTGATTGCTGTATTGGTGTCACTGGGGATGTAAGTGACAGTTAGTCAGTTCCCCCCCCCCCCCCAGTGTCAGAAGTGCCCCTGCTATAAGTCGCTGATCGCCGCCATTACTAGTATAATTTTTTTTTTACAAAAATCCCATTATCTATACAGCCATTTGTAGACGCTATAACTTTCACATAAACCAATTAATTTACACGTATTGGGATTTTTTTTTTTTTGCAAAGACATGTAGCAGAATACATTTTGGCCTTAATGTATAACGAAATTTGATTTTTTAATTTTTTTACTGGACATGTTTTATAGCAAAAAATCAAAAATATAGTTTTCTTTTCAAAATTGTTGGTATTTTTTTGTTTATAGCACAAAAAATAAAAAACGCAGAGGCGATCAAATACCACCGAAATAAAGCTCCATTTGTGGGGAAAAAAAATTACATAAATTTAATTTGGGTGCAGCATTGCATGACCGCGCAATTGTCAGTTAAAGTAACACAGCACCGTAGTGCAAAAAATGGCCTGGTCAAGAAGAGGGGTAAATCCTCTGGAGGGCAAGTGGTTTTTAACATGTAAAAGGTAAACAACAACCCCTAAATGTACTGCTACTTTTGTTACTGCTTTCCCAGCCAAAGACTCTCTGTCTATCCAGTTCTGAGATTTACACAGCTCTGTCACACAGTACAATTCTGTCTGGCAGGGAGACCTGATCTTTCTCTCTTTTTGGCTAATTAACAAGTGCAGGTCTTGCCCCTCCCCCAGCCTGTGACTGGACAGTGGAAGGAGAAATAGCACAGTGATGAACTCATCTCCCTATCACTCTGCTTTCTCTTTTTCTCAGTACATTGGTTGTTAGCACATGAGCACTACATCACAACTGACTGGCTCTTTGTGCTGCTTCTCTTTCTCCCAGTCTGAGCTCTGCTGTACAGTGGATTGCTGGAGGCAGATACCGAGCCAAATTCAGGTACTTGCTCTGCTTGCAATTGAAAAAAATTAATTTAATCTGAGTTCACCCTGAACATGTATGACAGCACATATGCGTCTGCGTGTTCTATGTTGGTTAGGGTCCTTTCACACAGATGTTCAGTCTGTGTCCATCTGTCAGTCTCTCAGACGGATCCAGAAACAACCCCAATGTATTTCTATGGGCAGGCGGATGTAAATGGAGGATTATCTTCCTACATCCATGTCTGTTCAGGTCTGTTTTTTAAATGGAACACGGCTGCTTTCTTTTATGTTTAGATGGATCTGAATGGATGTAAACAGGTGCCGTTTGTTTACATCTCTTCCCAGAGGCGGACATTTATGGGCTGATTCACACCACAGTTTTCTGTGTTCCAGATGCTATTTTGTGGTTACACATGTTTTTGATGCATTTTCAATGCGTTTCAGCGTGGCTTTTTCCTCCTTTTTTTTTTCATTTCAACACTAGAAAAATCTCAGGACAATGTGTGTTATGGTGCATTTACATGCGTTTTAATGCGTTCCATGCAGAAAAAATGCAGCATGTTCCACTTTTGTTGACTTCACTGGAACTGCACTCGTGTAAAATTAGATTGTAAGCTCTAACAAGCAGGGCCCTCTGTTTCCTCTTGTACCAAATTGTATTGTAACTGGAATGTCTACCTTCAAACTCCGCAAACTGTATAATAATAACTAAGGCCATTGGAATACATGAAAAACACTGTGCATGCGTTTTTGATTCAGATTAAAAAAAAGGAATCTGTGAGCAGATCTACCTCTGTTTGGTCACATATAGGCTAGGTTCACACTTAAGGTGGGAATACATGATTAGAAAATCAACTGATCGGTCATCCGATGACCGAGAGGCGTTCGTTCATTGGTCAAAATCATGGCCCACATTAACCAATCTAAAAAAATTGTTCATCAGGCAATACGTAGTGTTGATGTCTTCCGTACAAGTGGAAGTGATGCGGTGTGCATGTGACCTTGTAGCCACGCCCTTCCGGCCACAACGAGCGATATACACAACAATTACCAGCAATGAGTATAATATCGTTTATTACATATCTATATACATAAATAGTGATGCATAAAATATAATCTGCACAATTCTGGTTTCATTATCTCATTAGGCCAATCTACTTTTAACATTTGGATTTTATGTTCGTGTTTACGAAGATTCCTTGGACATAAACATCCGGGTCATCTTCTGTTTCCGCTCATGTGTGATAGCGCTTGATAGATTTTTTTTTTGAACGACCGTCATACCACCGGATAGAAAATCGGTCGTTCGTATGCAAAAACTACAACATTTTTCACTGTTGTTCAACCGGATCTTTTTGTTGCGCTTTGCATTGTTTTCTTGTTGCTAGGCAGATTAAAATGCAAAACGCATAAAAAAAAGCAGCAAAATGCACTACATGCTTTTCTGCAGTGTCTCCGTTGAAGTCTATAGAACCAAAAAAAACACAACTTTTTGCATTTAAAAAAGTCCTTGACGCTTTCCAAAAAACGCACCGGGTGAAAACATGGAGATGTGAACGTGTCCCATAGGAAATCATTTAATGAACTGTAGTGCGTTTCTGCAAAATGCAAAACGCTGTGGAAAATGCATAGGTGTGTACAGGGGCGGACTGACCATTTGGAAACTCGGGCACTGCCCGAGGGCCCAGGGTCAGTAGGGGGCCCCATGAGATGCCCTTGGTACCTTTTTCATAGGCTTTTTTGAGTTTGGGCAAGGACACAGGGGCCCCATGATGCCCTATTGCCCGGGGACCCCATGAGTTGTCAGTCCGCCCCTGGGTGTGTACCTAGCCTTATGTAGTTTTCAGTGCATTTCTCGGTTTGCAGAAACACACTACAGTTCATTTAACATGATTTCCTATAGCTCTGGTTAACATCTCTACGCTTTGAGACAGTTTTTGGAGAGGGTTAGGTTCAACAGACTTCAATGGAGCCTCATCAAAAGAGCATGCGGAACGCGTTTTTTGTGCGTTTCCTGCATGACAACAGACCCGCCCCCAGCAACATACACCGCGTTCCAAATTATTATGCAAATTCTATTTAAGTGTCACAAAGATTAAATATTTTGTTTCTCAATTTAACTCATGGATGGCATTGTGTGTCAGGGCTTTTTTGATCACTGAAAACAATCTCGGACACCTGTGATAATTAGATTGGCCGGTGAGCCCAATTTAAGGAAAAACTACTAAAGGAGGGTGTTCCACATTATTAAGCAGAGCACGATTTTCAAGCAATATGGGGAAGAAAAAGGATATCTCTGCTGCCGAAAAGAGCGAAATAGTTCAATGCCTTGGACGAGGTATGAAAACATTAGATATTTCACGAAAACTTAAGCGTGATCATCGCACTATTAAGAGATTTGTGGCTGATTCAGAGCACAGACGGGTTCGTGCAGATAAAGGCACATTGAGGAAGATTTCTGACAGAGCCATGAATCGGATCAAGAGAACAGCTGCTAAAATACCATTACATAGCAGCAAACAGATATTTGAAGCTGCTGGTGCCTCTCGAGTCCCACAGACATCAAGGTGTAGAGTCCTCCAGAGTCTTGCAACTGCGCATAAACCTTCTATTCGGCCAACCAATGCTCACAAGCAGAAACTGCTGCATTGGGCAGAAAAATACATGAAGACTAATTTTCAAACAGTCCTGTTCACTGATGAGTGCCGTGCAACCCTGGATGGTCCAGATGGATAGAGTAGTGGATGGTTGGTGGACGGCCACCCTGTTCCAACAAGGCTGCGATGTCAGCAAGGCGGTGGTGGAGTCATGTTTTGGGCAGGAATCATGGGAACAGAGCTGGTCGGCCCCTTTAGGGTCTCCGAAGGTGTAAAGATGACCTCTGCAAAGTATGTGGAGTTTATGACTAACCACTTTCTTCCCTGGTACAGAAGGAAGAACTATACTTTCCGTAATAAAATCATCGTCATGCATGACAATGCACCATCTCATGCTGCAAAGAATACCTCTGCATCAATGGCTGTTATGGGGATAAAAGGAGAGAAAGTCATGGTGTGGCCTCCATCCTCCCCTGACCTCAATCCTATGGAGAACCTTTGGAGCATCTTCAAGCAAAAGATCTATGAGGGTGGGAGGCAGTTTACATCCAAACAGCAGCTCTGGTTGGCTATTCTGACATCTTGCAAACAAATTCAATCAGAAACTGTCCAAAAATTCACAAGTTCAATGGATGCAAGACTTGTGAAGCTGCTATCAAATAAGGGGTCCTATGTTACAATGTAACGTGACCTGTTAAAATGTTGTTAAAAGTTTGATTGAAATAGCTTTTGATTTCAGTAAATATGCTGCAAACACAACAAATGACAATTTTCAGTTCTTTACGACCTATAAAGTGTTTTGAAACTTACTGTGCGTAATAATGTGGAACAGTGCATTGTAAGTGTTTTATGTTTAACAAAAATACTGTTATTAGGAGGTTTGTTCAATAAAATGTGAATTGTACTCTTAATAGTTGATAACATGAGAATTATGCTGACTGTTATTTACATCAATTATTTAGGTAAATGAGAAAAATATAATTTGCATAATAATTTGGAACACGGTGTAAAGGGCTCGTTCACACTTGACTTTATTTCTAACTCTTGCCAAATGCCCCTATAGCATTAGACAGGCGTTAGACAGGAGTTTGGGAAGTGATTTTAACGCCCTATGCGCGGTTTTGAGGCGATTGATAGGCATTTGCTAAGCTTTAAAACCTCACCACAAATGCCTATAATGAAGTTAAATGCTATTAATGCTCCGCAAACGCCTGCCAGGCGTTTAAGGAGGGGCACCATAGACTTGAATGGGAGGCTTCAACTCCTCCTGACTGGAGGAGAGGCGTCAGTTTTGCCACGATGTTAACGCTTCAGTGTGAACAGCACTGTGTGCTGCCATGTGCAGAATTTTAATAGGTGTTTGAGAAGCGTTAAAAATGCTTCCCAAACACCTGTCTGACGCCTGCTGACAAAGCTAGTGTGAACTGAGCCTAATACATCCCAAAAAGCAAGTGAAAAAATGCAAAATGCATAAAAAAAAAATCAGCCATAACCTGCATGTGTGTGACAGACCCAACCAGGACAAGGGCTTTTGGAGGGGACTGCAGGCCCCTAGTCCCCCTAGTTCAAAAGCCCCTGTCCTGGTTGGGTCTGTCACAGTGTGAACCTAGCCTTAGCCCGGGTTCACATCTGTGGGGTTGTGCGGGCCACGATTGGTGCGGGCGTGAGAGCCCATTCATTTGAATGGACTCCGATGCCCTGGGTCATGCAGGGAAGAAGTCCCTGCACTTCTTCTGAAATCGTAGCCTGCATGGGAACCTCGGTTCCAACTACGGTTGTGATTTCCAGTGTGTGTGGCGTGCCATTAGAAATAATGGCACCCGCCTGCTGGCCCCGCATTCCTCTATGTGGGTGGTGCGGCTGCACGGATTTGTTGTTGCGGGTCCCATAGCAGCACCACCCGCACATATGTGAACCAAGGCTAATGCAGGCCATAGACGGGTCGAACATCGGCTGATTTTTTGAGGTTCCTCCCCATTTCGTTTATCGGGCATGCTGGAAAATTCGTGGAAAACTACCGATTTTCGAAATCATTATTATTATACAGTATTTATATAGCGCCGACAATTTGCTCAGCACTGTACATTACAATGGGAGACAGTACACGAGACAGTACAGTAACAATGCAATTCAATATATGAGGGGTTTGAGGGCCCTGCTCCTTGGAGCTTACAATCTAGGAGGGAGGGGATAGTGGTACAGGAGGAAATAGCTGTGGGGGATGGAGTGGTGGGAAGAGTGGAGGAGATCGGCAATTAGCAGGGAGTGGGGTAGGCTTCCCTGAAGAGATGGGTTTTCAGGGTGTGCCTAAAGGTGAGGAGAGTAGGTGATAGTCTGATGGATTGGGGTAGGGAGTTCCAGAGAATGGGGGGAAGCCCTGGAGAAGTCCTGGAGACGGGCATGGGAGTAGGAGACCAGGGAACTAGAGAGTAGGAGGTCTTGTGAGGAGCGGAGAGTATGTTTTGGGTGGTATTTGGATACCAGATCGGTGATGTAGTTTGGGGCAGAGTTATGGACAGCTTTGTACGTCAGTGTTAGCGTTTTGAATTTTATCCGTTGTGCAATCGGAAGCCAGTGGAGGAAATGACAGAGGGGGGTGGCGGATACGGAGCAGTTGGTAAGGTGGATAAGTCTGGCCGCCGAATTCAGGATAGACTGAAGCGGGGATAGCCTGCGGTGAGGTAAGCCGGTGAGGAGGGAGTTACAGTAGTCAAGTCATCAAGTAGTAGTCAAGTAGTCAATGAAATCATTGGTGGCACCATTGGATTACAGAACGAACGTTTCGATTTTCGGACGAAAAAAATCGTTCAGAATTCGAACAATGCATGGCCTGCATTAGACGGAGTCAGAGGTAGGCAGGTATACACAAGTCTTCCCAATTGACATGAATGGGACAGGTACACCCGACCCTTGCACAGTCGTAGGCTGTATCACACCCCACATTAACAAGGCGTACAGATGTGCATTAAGCCAGAATGCCTGCTGGTGCACCATAACGCATGTAAACTCACCATGAAGAGCGTCAATGTGTTTAGGTGTGCTATGGCACACTGAGGTCGCCTCATGCACACTGGACGTTATATAAAAAACGCCTGTAGCGTTAGCTGTAGAATGCTGCAATAAAAACGTGAGTTTTTTCCCAGTTTTGCATTAGCTTTTTTCAGTGTCTGCGGTTTTTAGCAAAACTGTACTCCCACAAAATCTTCAGGCTCAAAAATGCTGGATAGCTGCGTTTTTTAGCGTTAGAGAATTTTTACACCTAAAAAACTAAAACGCCAGTACCGTTAGCTGCAGAATGCTGCATTAAAAACATGAGTTTTGTTGCTTTTTTAGCTTTTTTTGCATTAGCTTTTTTCAGCGTTTTTTAGTGGTTTTCAGCGTTTGCATTTTTTAGCAAAATTAGACTCCCACAAAATCTTCAGGCTCAAAAACACTCATAAATGCCAAATAGCTGTTTATTGTAGCGTTTTTCAACTTCTATTAGCATTTTTCAGCTTTTAGTCCTCATGCACACTGGATGTTTTGAGAACGCTGGTAACGTTAGCTGTATAAAGTCACGTTAAAAACGTGCTTTTCAGCTTTTTTTTAGCATTTTTGCATTGGCATTTAGCGGCGTTTGTGTTTTTTTTAGACCAAAAAAAATTTGGGTGGGGGTGTCAAAAAAAAGTCCAAAAAAACAACAGTTTGCAGCCTTTTTACCATGTTTTTCAGCGTTAGAGCATTTTTACAGCTAAAAATCTCCTCTAGAAAACCACTAGTCTGTGTGCATGGACAGATAGGATAACATGCTGGGGGTTTACTGGCTGTAGAAAAAAATGCCAAAAGCCAAAAACAGCCGCTGTAAAATAAAAAACATCCAGCATGCATGAGGACTAATACAACGCAGTGCAACACGCCATAAAAACGCATGACAACGCAGATTAGCGCATATCTACGTGACTTTCCATTGCTTTCAATGGTGGGGGACAATGTTTAGCTGTGATGAGCACAGAGCTCCGTGTGTGAGTTTGGGATGATCCCCTCCATGCAGAGGAGTTCCCCCCCCCCCCCCCTAGTGTAGGGATCCCCGCA